TTCACTGGAGCTTGGTCTTCAATACACTATCTTATGTTCTATTTTGTTTTATTTCTTTAAGCATTTATTTATGTTCAATGTCCATTGTCATTTATTAATGTATTCTGCTATTAACTGTTGTTAGAACACTGTCATTTTTGCTACAGTTTCACGTCATTAAAAAAAAACGTACCGAACTGACACGTTGTTGTTGTTGTTGATTTTATGTAAAACCCTAAAAGACACTTCAAAATATTATAAGACCAGGCAGATAGAGGGGTAAAAAACAATATTCATAAATAATATATACACATATTACTAATATTAATGATATTAACATACTAATATTAATGGAGAAACTATCATTAAAAAGGTTATTTATAACACCAATAAGGTCCTGCCTGGAGGAAACAAAAGACAGGTCGAACAATCAACCATGGCACACACGTTTTACTTTAAGAAACTATTTTGCCATCTGTATTGACCTTAATGATAGCCTGTCTGCAGTAAGACTTCATGTGGACTCTATCCATGACCTGAAGAAACATGTTCACTGCCACTCGCTCCCTGAGCAGCAACAGGAAAAATCATGTGACAAGGCATAAAACACCACATCAGAGATGTGAATAAGAGTGAATACATGCTATAAGGAAGAAATACTACAATGTTGGAGAGGACTGGATCTTACACATGGCCTTCAGACTGAGTGCTAGTGTGCCCTCGGCCTGGACAGCACAGCACCTCGAAAGCAGCCCGAATACCCAGACGCCTCCTGATTATAGACGTCTGAACCGACATCTAAACACACAGATGATAACACCAATAATTACAGGAACAGTTTACCTAAAATCACCATTTACTGACCCTTATTTTGTCACAAACATGTATAACTTCACAAAACACGAGGAATTTTTGAAGAATGGTAACGTGACTCTTTTCCATACAATAAAAAATATGGTATGTCTTAAGAAGACTTGAAAAACAGTGCATTATATGTAGTCATATAGAAAACCTTAATTGTGCTTTTTTTGTTCTTTTTGGAGCTTGATGGCCCCTGGTCAGTTTTGTTGTATGGAAAAGTAAAAGAAAAATCTAGCATTTTGACCCATACAATGTATTTTTGGCTATTGCTACAAATATACCCCAGCGACTTAAGACTGGTTTTGTGCTCCAGGGTCACATATGAGTTTGGAAATAATAGCAGAATATAGATTGCTGAACTATTCCTTTAGCAAACAAGCACCAAATTCTTAAAACAATGTCTAATGTAAGTCACGTAACTTTCACTCACCAGTAAATATCCCCTGAACTGGTTATAAATAATAGCCGTCATTAGATTCATTAACAAATACGTTCCTGACAGAAAAAAAAAATGCAGGTTGAAAGTTTTGAATGCAAATAATATTAACTGCAGTGTGTGTAAATATACACTACGAGTCAAAAGTTTTTTGAAAAGAAGGCTCTTATGCTCACCAAAGCTGATAAAAAATACAGTAAACATTTTTAAATACATGTAAACTTAATGCAAATTTGATGCAATTTATTCCTGTAATAGAAAAGTTGAGTTTTCAGTTTTCAGAGACTTCTTTCTGAAATATTAACAAAATCTTATATTATTCCAAAGTTTTGACCAGTAGTGTATGTATGCATGTATGTATGTATGTATATGTGTGTGTGTGTGACTGATCTGATCTGCCATTAAAACTTACCAAACACACTAAAGAGTATAAAAAATATAGAATAGCCACGGTTCAGAGAGTATGCTGGAATCATGACTGTTGAGAGAGGAAGACATGTTGTAATGAACACAGACTACGAGACGTTGTAGGCCATTGTAGGACGTTTCACATTTGAAACAAATACAGATACCTGTGAAAGTTTAACAGAACGTTGTGACAAGTTACAAGACATCATGTCATGTGGTTACCAATGACTCATAGCCTCCACTGCAATGAGCCAGAGATGACTGAGAATTCGACACAGCAGTGCCAAAATGTCATCTGTGTCACTGACCATTTAAAACTTTACTGAGTCATTCAGAGAGTTGCACCTCATGAGAGACTTTAACAACATTAACAGTCAAATGAAGACGTACCGTCAGGGTTATTGGCTGTTGTTAGCAGCACTAGCAGAGAAGACAGGGACTTTGGCAGGTTTTTGAAGTAGGTTTCCCATTCTCCATTCTTCTTAGGGTCCTACAGAAACACATCTATTCAGTCAACTGTAGCAATTCTTAACCTATTTTGCGCTTGACATGGCTGTGATTGCTGCTGCCAGGAGGAAGCATCGCAGAAAACAGAGCACATGGTAGAAAGTAAATAATTTTTTCCACTCATATTAATTTATTTGGAATGCCAGAGGAAGGCATTATCAGAACATATTGCATGCCAAGCCACGTTATTTTTAATTTGCTCTGCTTGTTTGCAACCTTACGCTAATATGTGCTGATCTTGGAAAATTGCATTGGTTATTATAGAAATGAGATGTTGCATCTGTGTTCTTTAATTTACGCATTGTCAGTAAATCACATGCAGAACTTTCCACTCCCATCTTTAGTGAAATATTTTGGAACTGCGCTCTCGTACTAATTTGTCTTGTTTAGTAAATCTGGCCCTTAGTACATTACTAAGGGGTTCTGCAGGTTTTATGACGGTAAATTTAAGACTATTTAAGACCGTTTTAAGAACAAATAAAGAAAATTTAAGGAACAAACTAAAGAGAAGACAATAAGTCAATGTGCTCTCTTAATGTAAATGTCGAGAGAGCACACAACGAGTTGTATTAGTAACACTTTTTTACACACACACACACAAAAACTTATGGCTTGAATAGCTCTCCTTCCAACCACTAGTATATGGAGAGAAAAAAACTTTTACTTTACCTTCTGATCACACTTCAAAAAAAGTGATTTTCTTCCAAAGTAATTTTGTGTAAAATGTCTAAAGACTCTTAAGTCGAGATACATTTACTAGAGGAGCAAAATGACATAAGAAGCCTGAAATTGATCTAAATGAAGTGAGTTTGATTAAAACATGAACAATATCTGCCAAAGGGCTCAGAAAAAAATCTAGTTAATTAAAAGGGAAAACAAGTTTTCATACCCCACTGATATTTGTTCTTGTTTTAAGCATAAACTCACTCAATTTTGTTACATTTTTCAATCTTGATTTGAGGATATTTAGATATTTGTATTGGAAAACAAATATACGGAGGAAGATATTCACTTTTGCAATGCATGTAACATTTAATGCCATGACTTTATCAATTTTAGACTTTCTGCTCTTATTTAAGACTTTCTAAGGTCTTAAATTGTGTCAAATTAAGACTTTTAAAGACCCACACAAACCCTGATTACTATATTTGCTTGCCCATGCAAAAATCGTGTTTGGAGGATGGATGCTGTGTGGTTGCTGAGGTATTCTGAGGTATTCAGCATGTAACTCTGTGGTTGCACGGTGTTCTACTAGGGTGATTTGCATGGTTGCTATGTGTCCTCTAAACTGGCCCATGTCACAAGATCCCACACCCTCTATATTGTGGTCTCTAGATATGACTCAGGTTCCTCCTTTAACACAAGTCTTTAGGAGTTTTTTGACCATTTTATTGTCTGCCCAGTGAATATCTTCAATCTAATTGCTTAGAAAATTAACAGCAAACTGCACTGAGGTATCATTCATGTCCAATGCACAAATTCTAGGGATGAGTTTTGTGGCAAAATGTAGTATCTGGGGATAGGGGTTTGTTTAAATCAAAAAGTGGGCCCATATAAGCACTGATAGAAATGATATGATAGAGATGTGATCACTTCTTACATCTGATTTGGAAAAGATCAGCATTCCAATCATGGTGAATAAGCAGAGGTGTAATGCCAAAAGCAGGATAACACTGAAACAGAAAGAGAGAAAAACAGAGAGAACACTTCTGGTCAATGTTTATTGTCATCATTTTTTAATTATAATATTAGAATGGAACTGCACACACATTGAGAAGTGAAAATAAGGAATTAAATGCAGACTGTTAAGGGAAAAAAAACTTTTTCACAGAGATTATGTTATTACCTTGCTATTTCTGGAAGAGTCTTTTTGATACATTTTAGAGTTTTCTTCATCAGGGAGGAGTTTTGCAAGAGGAAAAATGGTCGAATTAGTCTCCTGACTCTTAAATTCTGTGGGACAGAATGACAGGGCAACATTACAATCAACAGACCTGAAGCTGACAGCTGACTGAGACATGCTCAGTATTTACTTGTTTAAGATTATGAAGGAATAGACTGTCCAAAAATGAACATTTCATTTCCCTCAGGTCATATTTGATGTGCTTATGCAAATGAGATTCGAGTGACAATGGAGGCCAAGATTTAAAATACAACTTAAATTTTGGTCTGTTCTTCAAATGAAGGCAAGTAAATTATGAGTTTTCATATATGGGTTAACTATGCCTTTAAGTGTATGAAGGACTGTAAGTGCTAATTAAAAATAAAATAAAGAAATCAATTATCAATGTATCGATTCAAAAATAAAAATAACAACAGGTTGACATATATACTGTATATATATATATATATATATATATATATATATATATA